GAAATTTTTTACCTTTGTATTTCTATAATGACTTTGAGAGATACTTCACTTCATTTATTTCCACATCACTTCTTTTTTCTGCATCAATTTCATACATTTGTGTGTAAGCATTCATTGTTCATTTCGGAAATTCGCTACGCTCAAAACTCACTTTTATTCTCATTTTGGGTAAGTTTTTATTTGTAAAAAAAAAGTAAGAATGACATTTAAGATCAAATCAAGACACATTCAAACGCACGCATTTCATTGAGTTTAGTGAATGAAAATTGCGGCTTATAGTAGGAAATTAGAAAATGAAATGAAAAACACAAAATTGGATCACATAGAAAAGTGTAATTAATGCGAAAATCAAATTAATCGCGCTACGTTTTTTTCTTCTTTCCTCAATTTTATTTTTAAAGAGAAAAAAAACCATTTTAGCCAAAATTAAATTTTCAAAAATAAAAGTTTGAATGAGAATTGATTGAATTTGATGGAAAGTTAAATAATGACCGCCCACACCTATCAGCGGTGCCGTAAATTACTTTTTATCCAATTTTCTTTTTTTATCATTTGGAATCTCCAATGTTTCAAATTGTTTTACAATAAACAAAAACAAAATTGTAAAAAGTAAGCAGGCACGGGTCAATTGAAATGTTCATCAATCAATAAAATTCACAATGGCAGCATTATGCTACTATCGTATGGTGCATGCAGAATGCCTCAATACTTTATCGAATGTTGAATAATGAGAAGAAATATGGAAAGAAGGTCTTTTCTCAGCCACCGATTAGAGGTTCCGATATGTTTATATCGTGATTAAGATAACTTTATTGTTTGTTGACTATGCAGAGGAATGTTAAAATAGCTTTACCGCATTGTTAGACGTAAAAATTTGTAGAATGTAGTTCTACTTTCCTTAGAATGAGTCAATAGACATATTATGTCAAATACGATTTTCTCAATCGCTGTAGGTATTTCACGACTTTTTTGAGTCATTCTAAAAATAAAAATGGAGTGAATGATTTTTAGACTAGCATATTGATTTTCTTCGGTGTCGCAAGTAGTTCAAAATAGTGTTGTGATTTGTATGTTTGACTAATTCTGGGGTTAGCTCTGAGGGCTACTATATAATAGTCAAAAAGCATAATAAAACAGGTTTCCAATATATTTTACAGTCAATTCAATGTTTTAGAATAAAAGCTTGTAAATATTTTGAGAAAATGTTTAATAAACTTTTCAAATGCAGATTGCGATAAATTAAGGATACCCCTTCATAAAGTCAATCTACATCAACTTTTTGAAAGAAATCTTTACTTATATGAACAGCTAAACGCACTCATCTAGTAAATGCCTTGTTAGCAACTGAATTGTCATGTCTCGTTAGGTAACATTCAATTTAAATTAACTTTACGTAGTTAATAGACTGAATATTTATAGTCTAAACCACAGAATCAATTAAATGGGACATTAGTCTCAGGATTACTATTTTGGAATCAGAGGTACTTCAATTACCTAATTTCAAAAGAACCATATCAAATTACATTTAAATTGAAAACTACTCCAAAATAAGAACATCTTAATATTCTTTTTTTTTAATAATTAGATCCATAACAGAAGAGTTGTTCATTCAAATATGGAACCTCTAATACAGCTGATCCAATTTATTGTTATTATTTAAATTAACTTTCAATAAATTTATTGTGAAGGAAATTGATGGAAAGGGAATGTAAATGCTTATAAGCAAGTACCAATTTATATGCATCAAGAGCAAATTTTTATTGTATTGTATTTAAATTTATTTTTTTCCTTTACAATACATTCAAAGTCGCAATATAATATTAAAGTATTGTTAAAAAGAATCTCCCAAGAATGTAAAAATAAATCTATGAATAGCTTTAAACATCGATGAATGAATTAGATTTTAGTTGTTGAACAACAACAAATCTTTTTTTTATCGATTCATGCGATTGTTAGTCGTGAACATTGTGAATAGGGAAGGTTAAAAGAAGCATGCGAAGAAGGCAGTGAAACGAGCGTAAACATTAAACAGTTACAATTAAATTATTAATGATTATGTTTCATTTAATTCGAGTGGCAAATAAGAAGATGAAAAAGAGAAAACTTAAAAGGTAATTCTGGGATGGGTTATTCATTAGTTACGTCCGTCAAAATATGCACCAAAATGTATTTTTTTGTTTGCTACGCATTAAAAACTATAAGAACAGGTTGATCGATTCAAAACATTCCTTGTTGGATATTACAAACAGAGGAGCCCCCAAAAAAGACAATTCTTTCGCAAAATAAAAAGAATGCTATGGACTTTAATGACTCTTTTTTTGCCAGGTGTAAAATAAGCAGCTGAGAAGTTGACAGAAGCAAATTTAATGGGGGCAATGTCGAGTGGACAATTAGATGTTGTATGGTAAATATTAAGCTGTTATTTTTTTCGCATAACAAACAATGGAACTGATGTAGAGTGACATAAAGTGTGGAGTATGATACAATAATTTTCACATTCTTTCTATGGCAAAAGGAAGCAAGGTCGCGAAACTTTGATTGTCATTTTTAATATTTTGTAAAATATCCAACAACAAAAATAAATACAAATCGTTGAGGTAGCTCTATTCATAATTGTTACGTCACATTGTAATTTTTCGAAAACATGAAAATTTCCCTCAAAATACAACAATCAATGCCTAGAAAACTTCTTTTTATTAGAGACGGAATGCTATTAAAAAAATTCACCAAATGAAATCGTGAGTTACATTTCTCTAACATAAAGTAATTTCATCCATTCCATTCATTTTCTTTCTTTTCCACATTTTTTTAAATGGAAAGTTTTGTTCCGCACTTAATTTCTCGACCAACTAGATTCACTTTTTTCACTCACGAAATTAAATTTAAAATAGGAATAAGAAGAGCGAATCAAGTGAAAAAATGTGCGAGGTTGATAAGGCGCATGTCGATGCCTTACTGCTTGGAAAAAAAGTTCAGAAATATCAAAATTATCCGAAATTCTAGACGTATATCTCTACAAGGCAATAGTAACGATTGGTGAGAGATACAATTCAAACTGACATTCTGCCAAATTTCAGCATTGACCTGAAGTTGAAATTGTAAAATGATTCAAGTGTTCGACTGATAATCGTAAAACATGGGTTCGATTCCTAATATAAGTTATATTAAGTTGATTCAATGCTGCTATTTACAACCTTTTTTGCTAATTTTATTCGTTTTGTGTTAATAATGATTTTTAACAAATCAAAGGATTTTCACTAGCAAGTTGAGCACTAAATTGAAATAGTTGTCAGTCTGTACTAATTGAATAATTTAATACTCGAACTAATAATTATCGCCTAGTTCCTATTATCGTAATTAAATAAAATTACCAATCAAGTTCCATCAATGATGCAATTTTAACCGGAACTCTTCAACTTGCCATCCAAAACGATCAACGAAAAAATGCATTAAATTGAAAAATGAAGAATTGAGCAAGAAAATAGTCTTGAAGTGATGATTGACGAGTCCCTCAGCGATTGGATTCGATGAGCGAAAGAGAGTGAAAGATGAACATAAACTTTTCATTTAACATGCTGAAGCAATTATGCGTCAATTCATTCTTCCGCCTATCCGAAGTGTCATTTTGTGTTTGAAATAAACGCATTTATGTTAATTTTAATGTTTCTCCTTTTCATAACAATATTTTTTACGACGCGTGCACCATATGGCATGTGATTAATAGATATCAATTTTGTTGATGTTTTACTACAAGTTTTTCCATTCAAATGAATATCTACATATATGAAAACACACTCACCACAATGAGTATCTTTAATATGTAATCACGATGTAATTGTTTTTCCTATGTAATCAATATTTTGTTTTTTATATGAATGGGTCGGAGATATCAAATTAAGTGAGTCACTCTATTAAGAACACAGAGACAGTAAGATAACAAAAACAATAGCTCAAAAGTAAATAGTTTTAGCAAGTTTTCCTAATAAGAAAAGTCTCCAATGCCTGCGTTTTGTATGCTCGTCAGTTGGTCATTAAATTTGGTTGTCTTATTAACAAGCTATTGACTTTGTCCTAGTGTCTGAATGACACTAACCGAATTGAATTCATTTTGAACTACTTCCGAAAAATAACTTGTATTTTATTCTTGTGAAGTATATAATTTTTTCAAAATGAAAATCTTACTTAATTTTTTTATACATCCTAAGCTAGAATATGCGTTTTCAAGCTCCCAGCTCGCACATTTCGTTGCTGACTTTTTCTTTGCTAACATTGATGTCATTTCCGCAAGCGACTCTGATTATTATTTTTAAGCAAAACGTCAAGTAAATAAGTGTAAACTAGTTTTCCGAGAATACAATTGACTTCCACGCGTACAACAACCATAATTCACTCATTCATTTTTGCCATATCCATCATCCGCTTTCCATTCTTAGATTGTTTTATAACATCTCATAAAGTAACAAATGAGATTATTATAAGTTTACATTAGCTCTGTTTTTATTATTTCGTATATAACATTCACCTACTTCTCTCCGTGAATCTCATACAGTCTCACAAATTGTGAGAGTCAAATGTGTGTAAAGTAAAGGAACGCAATCGACTACTTTGCACAAAAAAATATGCAGCATAAAAAGCCAATAATATTTTTCATTTTATAATTGCTATAGACGACCACATATACAATATGAGTCTTCACACTACCGCATCGCGAACTTTTTTTTTCATTGCCAATTTATCTTGGGTGTAAAATAGAGTTTATTACGATAGTTCTCAGACAACAATCAATGGCAATTGAAGGAAATCACAAAAGTTGTTGTTGTAAAGATAATGTACAACAAAATTGTGATTCATAATTAGTAATAGCATGATTTTAACACGCCATCACTTTTTTTGAGCTTAATTAGTCAAATTTGGATGGAAGCCGATAGATACTAATTTAGGTATTTGTGTGCATGCCTGATAATTTGCATATACTTTTTCGTCTTCTTTTTTTTTCTTACCTGCTGCTGCTGCTGTTCTTCTGTGTCTTTGTTGTCTGTCGTGGGGCCATTTTTTTCATTCATCGATACACGATTCGATGTGTTAATAGTGGGTGTAGCTGCATCAAAAATCAATGCTGGATTACTTCCATTATCTCGATACTTTTCGACTTCATTAAGAAGTCTTTCTAAATATTCAACATAGAGTGTCTCTTGCTCTAGTTCCTTTGTTAATTCCAAAATTTTCTCCTTATGTCTAGTCAAACTTAATTGTACATCCTCAATCCATGCTGAAGATAGATCTGAGCCAGGAAATTTTTCTTGCTGCATTGTCATAATTTATGGATGTACAAATACGATATTATTAAGAGAATAATAATAAATATAAAGAGAGAGATAGAGATAGAAGATTTATGCAACATTAGAATACATCGTGTGAGAAGAGAAGAAAATATGAAAGTTAAAGACCTACCCAAAGTCTTTGAAAATCACTAAAAACACTCATTTTATCATAAATTTTACGAGATAAATTTTTTGTTGACTTTTTTCCTTCTTTTTGTATCAAATTTTAATGCACTTTTCTCATTTTCTTTGCAATTTTCACATTGGATTAAAGATTCAAATTATATATTCCTAATAATACACACTCACAAAGATATTAAACTTGAAAATTGGAACACATTTCTTTACGAATTTAATTAAAATTTTCATTCATTTTTTTATGTCTCGATTTTTTTCACTCTTTTAAATCATTTTTTGAATTAAATTCTGAATATCTACACACTTTCACTAGCTTTTCCGATTAATTACTACAATACTTATGCAAATAAACGCGAATTATGATAAGAAAATACTAAAAAACACCAGAAAAATACATGGTAAATTAAAAATTCTCTTACTACTGGTTTCTTTAGTTGCAAATTGAAGACTGACTAAGCCAATAGACTAATACATCTTGCGTATTGCCCGTAATACTCTTCGGTACTGCCATTTCTCTTCTCTTTGTTATCTATGCTTCTTATTTTCTATCCACTGAATGTTTAATTTTAATATGTTTGTTTACCTTCTTAACTGATATTTTATATTTGAATAATATGGTTTCAGCAGGTTTTAGCACATAACTTTTGAAAAAACCGTTATTGGTGATCTAGATTTATTGAACAGTCTGAATTTTTATTCGTTTTCTATTATCTTACCAGATTTTACAAATTATTGATTTATTAACTTAGCCTATTTGGTTTGTAATTAGCTTCTTGATGAAACTTTAATTGAATTTCAATGTAGAATTTGTTAAAACTTGAAGAATCAGGTTTTAAAAGAGATTTCTAGAAGAGAATTAAAATGAATTTGAAGTCAGTTCCTTATTTTAACGGAAGATCCCATATTACGTACGTATTTACGTTTCTGTTTCATGCAAAACATGAAAAATAAGTAAACAAAATGTTAAAATGGAAATAAGTATAGGATTTGATTTTTTATCAGCATTAATGTTAGAACATAATTTAAAATTTGGTAACTTACATCTTAAATTCATGCTGAATTGTAGAGATCTGCTTATTTTTCGCAAATCTCATCGACATTGGATTATTTTTAAAAAATTACTGACGGTTATTTGAATTTAAAATGGAACTTAGATTCTTATTGGATTGGTCAATTGCAGATTCTAATAGAACGTTGTTGTGAGAGTGTTGCACATCTGTAAATCGAAATGTTAAGAATGTCCTGAAAAACAAGTTTGATAAAACAAAACTAGAAATATTTCTTTTTCCATTCAATATTCTTTATTCTTTCCATAACTATAATTAAATGAGACTAGATATAATTATTAAATAGTGTATTTTTCGAAAATCATAAACATTTTTGTGTAATACTTTTTTTATCAGAATAAATGAATAGTTTTCATCAATTTTTCAATTATTTTGAAAATTATCAGATAAATTGCATCAAATTTTGTCATTATTTTAATTTTTCGGTATAAAAAATAAGATTCTACAGTTAATTTTTCATTTTTTTACTCTCTTTTCAATCATATTACTATTATTGTATTTTTTTTTATTATTACTTGAATGACTGACTGATCAATCAACAATTTTCCACAGTTTTTCAAGTTAATTAATAAATTTTGTGTCATCAAATCAATTCATTGATAACGAAAAGAGCTCAATTAAGAGGGAAAAGAGTGAATTGATGAAGGAATTTTATGGAAGGAATATAACTTTTTGAGATCCTTTGGAATTTTCAAAAATAAAAACTATAATTGAATGAGCTTGATTGTAAGTGAGCCATTTTCATTCTCATTATGATTCATTTTTTTTTCGATCGATTACATATACCTTACTTATAATTAATTATATATGGATATAATATGACCACACGCGGTACAAAATAACAAAACAAACAAAATTGTACACGAAAAAAATAATATTCAAACAAATAAAGGAAGCTGAACAAATCTTTGGAATTCGACATGAAGGATTAAAACAAAATTTAAACATGACACGCATTTTTCAAATGAGTTTGATTCTAATCGATAATTTTGATTAATTAAGTTGAAGAAAAGTTTTGCAGTAATTTAAACATCAGTTGAACGTCCAGTGGCTTCGGCATGTAAGCGATGATGTTCTTCATATAATTCATGCATATGTATCATCTGATCATTATTGTACTGATATAACGCACTATTTGGAAGTAATGGTGGAATTATAACATTATTTGGTGGCTGTACCTGACGTATATTAGCACTGGTAGACTGTTGTTGCTGTTGGATGTATGCTGAATTTTCAGCATTTTTACCATTGGAAGCATTGTTATTATTTGTGGATGTTGATTGGAATGAAATTGACATTCCTGAATCGAGCGATCCGACACTGCCTCGTCTCTGTCTGCACTCATTTCCAACTAAAATGAGTTTAAACAAAATTAAATTGGTGATAAAATTATAATCAAATAAACCAAAGGATTAGTCAAAGATTCGATAATCTGGTACCGAATTTAATCCTTAGTTTTATTAGAAATCAAAATTTTACTCACATTGATCATGGATGTCCAATAAGGAGTTGCTGAGTGCTCCGCCACGTTTTAATTGACCATTTTGGACATCATTATTGGATGAGGATTTGGTTTCAAAAGATTTAGATGTGGTAAATTCTATAGCATCAATATCACCGACACCACTATCACGATTCTCTACATTATTATTGTTCATACCACTTCCAACACAACGATTTGTCTTCATTTGTCGCTCAAGTTCTATTTCGATACGAATTGATTCCATTTCATCCATTTCGGCTATGGACTCACGTAAATCATCAGCAAATTTACATCTATCGTGCTCATTTCGAGCATTAAATGTGGCAAGAACTTTTCCGTCAACCTTTTGCGATAGACGAATGCAAAATGGGTAATCTATAATAAAAATTATCGTATTTATGTTAATTAATATTTGAGAGCTTAAAAGTCACGCATAAAATTACTCACTTGGCACATCCAAAAGAGTGACAACTAAGCCTACTAACGAGAAGGAGTTTCTAAATGTATACGTTACAGATGATTTCTTTTTTGTTAAAATTTTCGTTACAACAAGCAAATCGTTAAAAAGAAACACTTCACGCTGATGCAAACCTTGACGTTCCTTTTTATTAATGTCAATTTCGTATAACCGGCAATAGCATACCAATCTTCGATGTGGAACTGCCAAATTTAACTTTTTACCGACAATGGTTTTTTGAACTTTCATGACTTGAGTTACATGATCCGATGCTGTCTTAAATTCAGTCTCTTTAATACGCTCATAGATGCCAATCAAAAGATTTTTATCAATATCCATGCAGTCGTCAATTCCACGAAGATTTTTTATGAAATCTTCACATTTCATTCGACGATCGGCTTTTAAATTAGGAGTATGGAGATCTGTATTAAGCATGATTATTGCAAATGCCAAAACAAAAATCTGCAGACGAGAAAAAAATGGGAGGGAATTAAATATAGATTTTGTTGTATAAGCAAAGGATTAAATAACTTTTATAAGATAAGTATTTATTATTTGGGTTTAAATTACTGTTTTAGCAGAGTTAAATCAAGTTCTAAAATTGATTCAAATGATGTTTGTCAAAATAATTTAACTGAGAAAATTCTTTGTTAGTATTCTTTCTTGTAAAGTATATAATTTAATGCAAAAACACTTTTTTTTTGGTACTTTTATGCCTTAAATGAAAAAAAGTTCTTACCGTATCCGGTGATCTCAATTTTGAAATGACGTCAGGATTACACATGCTGTACCGATGTGAGAACACCTCCATTAGTCTTTCAATCTTTTGTGCCTCACCGGGCATCCTAAAGTATCCTTGGAATTTTCTCAATGCTACGTCTGTGGCTAATCCAGAAAAGTCCATTTCTTCAGCAAAATATTCCAAAACAGCCATATTAAATGGCTGTTGAATATTACCGAGATATTCACCAATCATTTGACGAGATAATCCCTTCCGAGATATTAAAAATTTCGATACGGCGTGTGGTGAATTTTCAAGGAAATTTTTGTGCATTAGGTATGTTATGCCTTTTTCAGGCTTTTTATTAAACAAATTTAATCCAATACGATATTGGCGTTTTCGTATCGTTTCTGACAATTTAGCTTGGAGTTGAATTTCATTCTGTTTTTGAATCAATTGTTGTTGTATTAGCTTCTGTTCCATAATATATTGTTGGTGTAGAATAAGTTGTTGCTGTTCAATTGTTGTCTGATGTTGCCAGTTATTTGGAATTGGTGAATTTGAAGATAACGAAAGTGAATCTGGCGATGAATGATTTCCATTCTCGGCCTTATAAAATTGCTGCTGATTTTGTGATGCAGAATGCTTCATTTGCATGTGCTGAACATGATGATGGTGATGATGATGATAATGATTATTTTTATTGTGATGATGATGTGGCACATGTGAAATTTGTTGGTATTTTGGTGGTGTATTCTGTATACTACTAGTTCTTTTTGGAACTTCTGGTGGAACTTTCTTAGAAATACTTGATGCTCTCGGTCTTATATAGTTTATTGGCTGTTGTTGTTGTTGCTGCTGTTGAGCAATTAATGATGCATTCGGGCTATTACTATATGAATTCCATGATGAGTTCATTGTTGTATTTACATTTGAAGATGCCGATGACATATTTAAATCAAACTGATGAATTGAAGAATTATTAAGTGAACTATTGTTACTTGAAATAGCATAGTTGTTATTAAGATTGCTATTATTATGACTATGATAATTCTGATAATTATTGTACTGCTGATCTTGTTGATGTAACAAATTAACATATGCATGAGATTGATTTTGTGACGGATTTTGCTGAAAATTACTTTGGGAAAGTGGTTGACGTTTCACTACAGGCGTTACTTGATTGAAATTTGAATCCAATACATTACGACGCTCTCGAAATGACACGGCACGATTAGCAGGCGTTCTCTGTTGGCCAGGATTTGTTGCTGATATTCTTTTAATAATAATGAAATTAAAATCATTCATTTGATCTCAAATTTCACAGAGCTATAAATATAATGTTACTTACATTGCACAGACTTTTTGTCCCGCTTGACTTCCCCCAATATCTTGATGAGATTCATCACCTACACTAATTAGAGATTGCATGCTACATCTATTTGATATTCTCTTATCAGCCTTTGCCATTGCCGTGATAGAGGCAAATTTTTTAACCATTTTATAGTGACGGAAGGCGCGTTGTATACAAACTGCTGCTTTTCGTGCTCTAATTCCACCGTACTTTCTTTCCAGCAATTCAATTTGCTTATCCAACAAATCTTGTGACAGCTCATAACTACTGCAAAAAATATTGAGAGTGCACAAAAAAAGAAAGAAAAGAAACGACAATGAAAATTAAATTGTTTATTTAATTACTTCTGCCACCTCGATGAGATAAGTTAGTTGACACATGTATAGCAGATCGAGAATTAATGAAACAGTGGGAAAAAGAAGCGGAAAATGAATATTTCCATTATTATACTGAAAGTTAAAAAATAGTAGAATGTGATAGGAAATTGGTTATATCTGTCAATATTATCCGCAATAGAATATCCAGCATAACACTTCGACTGAGAACGTTTCAGAATTTGATGGAAGAAGAGTTGACGGAAATACTTTATAAGCCATGATGCCTCAGGGTAAATTAAAGATTTATCGGATCAATGAATTAGATTGAAATCTTGGCTTTTTATAGTTTCCATAGAAAGATCTTGGGTTTCTACGTTTGTGGCATTGGACATAAATTAAATTAAAAATCAATACTTACGAATTATTTTGTCTATTTCTCTTCATCAACTCAGGATTGTTTCTCATGATGGAGCCTTTCTTAATTAATGACGGTTGATGTTGCGGCGTGGAGCCTTCTTGAAATTCTACAGGAGGTGGCGTATAATGTGTCTGCTGTTGTAAGAATACATAACTGTGATTGCTTTCATCGTCCATATTAATGATATCATCCTCAATATCGTAACTTAAGTGACTATCAATTACATGATGTTGATGATCAGAATTGTACGATGATGATGATTGATTCTCAAACGAATATTGTTCTGTTGATGTGTTGAAACTTCCAGCAGTACACAGTGGACGGTCGGTTTTTTGTGGCAAACTATATTTACAAAAATTTATGTTGAATCATCGTTACAGTCAGGAAATTGCACGAGAATCGTCGAGAAAGGAAGAGAAGAATAAAAACGGAAATACAATTAGACAAAAGGGTATTTTTGGAACTTCTTTTATTTTTATGGAATATAATGGAACCGTGTGAAACACACAGTTTGATGCTGTATTTAATTTATTATGTCTTTGTGACTATCGTATGGTTAAAAAGGATAGAGAAATCTTTTCTTTAAAACAGTCACTATTGTCCATAATTTTACTAGTATATGTCACTAATGTAATTAGCACATAGAGGGCTGTTGCTGACCATTTTTTTATGATCTGTTTTGTATCCTGTTTGTTAATAGCATGAAGATATTTTTAAGAAGAGAAATTGAGTTGTCAAATTGATCATTATAAGACTTCAAATAACATAAGCATAGCTAAAGTGGATCCAAGAGATTCCACACCTCAATTCGTGAATAAAATTAAAAATGTAGAAGCAAATAAAATTATGACTCTCGGTAATGAGATTTAAATGACAATCCACCAAAAACTTTGCTCGAGATTCAAGATATATCCTTTAGATGCAGTCAATTATACTCAAAATAGACCCTAAAAACAAGCGAAAACTGTATTTAATTCCAGAAATGCACAATACATTTGAAGCAAGAGTAAAGCAATTAAAATTGCATTTTTTCCATAGAATTAAAATGTACAAAGTTAATCCCAGAACTAGCTATGAATTTACAATGATAAATTGAACTTTTTGTATGAATCTTGAATATACTCTAAATAATAAATAATAAAAACATAATTTATTGTAAACAATTCCAATTAATTCATAGAGTCCAAACATTGGTTACAAATTCTAAGAAGACAAAAAATAGAACTTAATTGTTAACAGCTCTAAACTCAATAAAAAAACTAGTCTGGAGAAATTATTTTTATCTCGAGATTCTGACATTGTTATCAAGAAATGGGTTTTATCAGTATTTAAATATGGCTGGCTGTACCCAGAATCTCGTAACTCAAATACTTAAGATAAGAGTTCTCTTTATGAGTAAGTATTTAAAACCAGAAATTATTGCTAGGCAGTACATCGTCGAGCATCTTCATTTTAAATATATTCAATATTTGACAATACACGGCCAATATGTAAACAATCTCAGCTCGTTTTCAAGAGAATAATTTGTGAAGATTTCCCGATTGTTTACCCAATTGCAAAATCTGCACCTTAAAACTCAACAAATCTTAATGGATGTGCGCTCTTCAACAATAAAATTTAAAAACTTTCCACCTTTTTTAAAACAGCTATTAACACTACAGAACAGTAAGTCTATACTTTGTTTTTATTTAAGCTATTGAATTAATGTACCAGAAAATGAAAAACTTATAAACAACTCCTCGTGACTAGCGTTATTTCCCTTTCAAGACGGTTTTTTAGTCGCCTATAGAAAATAGTACAGATGAGTCATTAATCACCAAGGGATAGATTACAGGCGGCAGAACGAAAATAAAGAAGTGACTGTAAATTGCAGTCACAAGAAAGATGTCTCCGTATTGCACACTTTTTACACAAAATAAATTTATTTTTCTGTATTTTACACAAAAATATATGAAATCATAAACTTTGTTTAAATGGAAAACAGATGTTATTCATTCTATTCTCCGGTTCTTTATGTCATTTTCCTTTTTTTAATGGTCTACAATTGGCAAAATAATTTTGGTTCTTCGTCTTCAGTGACACAAAAAACTTAAAATGGCCAAAAAAATAATAATATTTTGCTCTTTTACCACCCATAAACTTTCCTCAATATTAAATCACAATTATTGCACAATCCATATGTTGCTTAAAAATTATATTGATATTATGTATTGTCTTAAGACTTCTCTTTTTCTAACCGTATGTTTCACTTCCAACTCACCTTGCCTTCGTAGCAGAAAGAGATTTCAATTATTTTTTAACCCCGAACTGAGAAGAACTGTTACAGCTCAGCAGAAAAAGTGTATATGATATAAACACGTACGTATGTATTCACCAATTTTGTACTTTACTTCATTTTTTTTTTGTTGATGTGCACAATTCAAGCGTTTATTATTGAATGAAAAATAAAAATTATAGACGTTTTTGTGTCTGCTTTAAAAAACTTTCAGTACTCTTTATGTCTTATTTATTTTTTTCACACGATATAGACACCACAGAAAATGCGAGTACTGGAAAAAAAAATCACACAAAATCAGTAATGCCAGAATTGTAAATTGATACTTTTTTCCCGAATACGATAAAGTTATTCAACAGTGTTCAAGTCTATTTGCTTTCATCATTCGAAACTGAATGCACAAACGCGCGACCGATTAGACAAAAGTAAGTAAATAAGTAGAAATAATATCGAAATATAGAAAAAAATGATATATATGTCTATGATGTAAGGCACACTCTAAAAGTCAATAATATTAGTGGCATTATTTGTTTCAAAGTTAACTAATGACGATTGTATCATTAATTAATGACATTAATGAACTCAGCTTTATTTACTACATCACTCACAATTTATAATAATATATGTGGTGAATTGTGACACTCAGGAAGAGAGAGTTCATAACCGACAAACCGACTTGAAACCTTAGAAGAAGTCAACTTTGAAATGCTATGAATATTTAAATAGAAAAAAATGTATAACAGAAACCATCATTTGAATACTAAATAGCAACTGAATTTGAAAAGAAGAAATAAACTTAAAATGCGAAATATAATACTTAGCAGACGATCGATTTATCTGTGTGACTTGAAAGGTAAATATCATCACACAGAAAAAAGTATGTACGATGTACTATATGAGGAGAAGGAAAGCAAGTAAGGAAGTCACCAAAGATGGACACAGTTGTGAATGTGTTTTCCTTTTGATTTTAAGCGGAACTGAAGTCTTCAAATATGGACTTAAGTAATTTGCCGAAATTTATGATGCAAAATCTCAATTTCTTTGGTTGAATAATAAAAATTTTATCGATTGAATAATAACTTGGAAACTGCGTGTCAACATTAAGTAAAATTCTTCGATGCTTAAAATTACATCTGATCTGTAGTTGGTAATTTTTAAATGCCGCAGCACATAACAAAAATTTAATTTAAATTCCTGAACAGAAACTTCCTTCATGCCAAAATATGCAAATTGACACAATTACTAATTACCTTAATCTCTTTAACAAGCTAACAGACTCATATTTCTGGATCAAATTAGATCAACAAATTCCTGACATTTCTTGAAAGCAAATCTGTAAAGCTGCTGATCTAGAAGCTGTCATGAAAACAAGCTACCGTTAACTACAACCAATCAGCCTTCAACTTTATGCTAAATTTGGAAAGACGAGTGATTGACATGATGAAGTCGACTCTGACATTATCAAATAAAGCTTGGCGTTGTGGCAAATTCGACATAATGAATAGCTTGACATTATGAGAAGCACAAAAAAGTACAAAGCGTAAACATCTTCTACATATTTTCATTAAAACAGCCACTACACAACTAGTAAAGTAGTTTTTTTTTTCTTATTTAAATTGTGGAAGAGCAATAATCAGAGGGGAAGGTGTAAAAATTATGTCCAATATGTCAATTCAAATAAATCGAACATTGGCCTCTCGTCTATGTTACACTTAATAATGATATATTAGCACCCATAGACCTGTTACCACAAAAAACGTGACATTTCACAAAAACAAAGTATTTAAAGTCAATTCTCTATCTCTTCATTTCCCATTGTGTGTTCCGTACAAGTTGAATCATCAGCCAGTAAAAATAAAAATTATGCAAAATACATTAACATTTGTACAACAAGCTGTTCTGTTTATTGATATTGAATGGTTGCTAACTGTATGATAAGTATGACATTGGGAATTAAATAAAAATACAGAATGTCGTCTACCTGTTTGAGTCGATCTAAGTGTATTGACAAAATATATATATTGAGGAGATCCCTTCGAATGAAGTGTTGTTAAATTTACTTAAATCTCGATTATAGATACAATATATTTACACTGGAGTCGTTCATAACTGATACATAGCTTTTAGGGAATTCTGAGTTTTTGGAGACCTCAGCAAGGACTGTTTTTTGACATGAAAAGTTTGTGACACCCCCTCTCACGTGTACCGAAAATATATAATTTTTGATAGACGTCATTTCTGAATAGATTTTAAAAACAAGCTTAAAACAACACGAAATAGTCGTAAACAATTTGAATAAATTTTCTCAAAGGGAATAACAGGTTCAATATCAACCAACAGTTTGCTTCGCACCTTTCATTAACAAGCAACAATAGAATTGCATCATATATCAGTAAATTTGCTCAAACTTCCATTTGGGACTCTGTGATTTGGCTCATGATATGAAGAATAGGAAGTGGTATTATGTTAATTTTTTTTTTAGTATTTCGGGGATTTCTCTTTTGTCACTTGCTGCTTTTTTACAACAATAACCATATTTTCATTCAGTATTGTACGTCGTCTTTTTCTCATTTTCATTTCCATTTAGCTTTGAATTAATGTTTGCAAAGTCATGTCTTTACTCTTCTCGCATTTTTTTTATTCACTCTTTTATAAATATTTGAGAATACTGTTGTAAAATAAAAGTAAAAATTTCAATGGCCATGGAAAAGATTTTTTTTTGTTTTGCTTCGCTTTGTGTTCATAAATAAATTAAAAACAGGAAAATTTATTAAGTACAATATACATGACTCTTTATCATTCCCGCGAAATGCTGTAATTACGCGAAACGCCCATTAATTCATATTCAATGAATGCCATTATCGCTTCAATTTTTTAAATGAGGCGTTTATTTGGAATTACCGAGAAAATTATAGAAATATTATTCTAATAGCTATAACATATGCGGATGTTCAAGGCTTGATTCTTTATCAACTGATTGAAACTCTCGTAGAGATATGATCTAAAAAAGTAAGATTGAATATTTAAAAAGTGGATTTTGAGCACAATTTAATGCAGATTCTGTTAA